CTTATTCACTGCCCAGCTTTTGCGTACATAATGAGGTTACTGAAAATACCATGGCTTTGGTCAGGTGTGCCTTAGTCCTCAAGCTGATATCTGTGCTCTTCAACATTTTAAAAAGATTTGCAGATTTGTCTAATGCAGCATGTTTTAGTTAGTAGTCTAGAACACATAGTTTATACCACCCAGGGACCTTCTGGCATAACCAAAAAACCAACCCACTACCACTCAGTTAGTTCCACTTAGTGACAGTGTTATCTTTTTCCCGCACAGTGGCTGGTGGGTTTGAACTGCCAACCTTGTGGTTAGCAGTCCAGTTTTAATCTTATAGTGCCAATAGTTCTCCTTTCTAGCACATTTATTAAGTGCCATTGAGTTCTGAGTCACGCTGATCCTGTATAGCGTTTCTGATGAGCGGCTAGCGGATTTGAACCATCGACCTTGTGGTTAGCAGTCCAGTGCTTATCCTATAGTAACACACCATGGCTGCATTTGTTATTGTTAAGTACCATCCAGTCAATTTCAACTCATTCTGACCCTGTATAGGTTTCTGGCGCTTTAAATCTTTTGGGAGCAGAAAGCCTTATCTTTCTCCCACAGAGCGGCTGATGGGCTCGAACCGCTGACCTTGTTTGCAGTTGAGTGCTTATCATATGGAGTTAGAATTCATGTTATTGTTTTTAACTGAGTTGAGTTGGTTCCGACTCACATTGATCATGTATAGGGCTTCCAGGGAGCAGCTGGAGGGTTTGAATGGCTTACCTTGTGGTTAGCAGTCAAGTGTTTATCCTAGAATGCCACACCAGGGCGTCAGAAAATATGGAACACTTAACAGTTTGCGTGTCATCCTTGCGCAGGGGCTGTGCTAATAACTTTCTCGCTATTGTTCCAATTTTACTATATAAGGCGCTTAATCAATGAAAGCAGTTTCTATTGTTTTTGCCCCAGAAATCCCAGAAAAGAACTGTGGCTTTCTGGATGCCTTTGTTTGGTGAACACACTTTGAGAAAGGCATTTCCTGTCGTTAACTAGTAGGCATCTGTGAGGCAGATTCTCAGGACTGACTTTGGGATCTTGTTTAGCGTATACCCATATGCCCATGGGCAGCTCATCCCATGCACCATTTGCAGTGAGCCAGCTTCAGGCCTCCCCTTGGTGCCCTGCAGTGTTGCCTCCCCCTGGGGAGTTTCAGAACCACACTGCTCTCCCCAAACTGCCATTGTACAGGAGCCGTATCCGGGTCTCAGGTTGGATGCTTTTCACAACTTGCTGTATGGTAATACCACTCAGTTCTGGATGTTCAGACTGCTTTATGGAGACCTTGATAGTTTTTTAATCAAGTACTGCTAAAGGTGTGGTGCTATAGGATAAGTATTGGACTGCTAAACATATGGTTGGTGGTTCAAACCCACCAGCCGCTCCTTAGCTCGGTAGGAGTCAGAGTCGACTGGATGGCACTTAATAATAACAAAAAGGTATTATTTTAATATATTTTCTGTTGAATATTTTCTCATGGCTGCTTCTTTCTTTATTTTTATTTTAGCTACCGACCTACTTCTTGCATGGAATCCCATTTGCTTGGGACTGGTTGAAGGTGTTATTGGGAAAATTCAACTTCATTCAGGTATGTTTCTATGTACACCTTAAACTCGTCAAATTTAATGTGGCATTCTAGAAAATGTTCCTTTCTGGGGGTCATTGTAGATGCTGTTAATGACTTTGATTACTTTGCCTTAACGTTGAGTCAGTTTAAAATGTGCGTATTTCCATTTACATTTTATGAAATGAAAATAAAACTTTAGAAGAAAGGAGGCATAATATTACAATCCCTTCTTTTGTTTAAAAAATGCTTATTAAATGCCTATGGTATGTCGGGACTGTGTTGGTAGTGCATAATGATGATTGAAAGTGGACCCAGTTCTGCCCTCATGGAGTTAACAGTTTGGGGAGACAGACACAGAAATAAAATTGTGGTTATTTGGAAATTGTAGGTACCGCGAGAAAAAGATGCCAAGTGTGATGATTTCAGGGGAGAGAATAGCAGGAATTAGGATGGAGGGGTAACCAGGTGGCAGATGTGGTGACCAGCTTTGGGCCAGGTGTCCATCCCTGTTACAGTCAGCGGGTGCCAGAAAGACTCAGGGTCTGTTCTTGTTCTGTGCAGTAATAGACTTCTAGTCTTCTTAAAATTTTCATTGTGAATTGAGTGAATGTTTATAGAGCAGATTCTCAGTTTTTCGTTCAACAAATCGTACACTTCAATCCACATCAATGACTGCAATCCCCTCCGTGGAACGTCACTCATCCTGCTTCCTCCCTTTGCTTCCTGTTTCCATTCCTGCTTCTTCCCTGGCAGTGGTTGTGTGCCATCGAGTCCGTTATGACTCACAGTGATAGGATCTCTGAGGTTGAAAATCTTTACAGGAGCAGAAAGCCTTATCTTTCTCCCACAGAGTGACTGGTAGATTTGAACTGCTGCCTTTTGGTTAGCAGCCCAGCTCGTAATCTACTATGCTGCCAGGCCTCCCTACTTCTTTCCTAACCCTTCTGAATTTTGTCCTTAGGTGAGTGCCATCCTTTTGATCTTAAATAGTTGCCCATTCGCCCATTCTGAGGTATGTGTACTGCCCTTGTGTTGTCGTCGTCGTCCCCCCCCCCCAATAGACGCATCTGAAAATTGAGCCACAGGGTTCAGTTCAATTCCAGAGGTGATCAATGGCCTTAGTCTTGGGGTTCCACCAGTCTCTGTCTGACCAGTAAGCCTGGTATTTGAGTTTTGTTTCCAATTCCTGTCATTCTATCTAGGTCCTTCTAATGTGCTTCCTTTCAGAGAAGTTGGTTGTGGTAGTTGGCTTCCATTGAGTTCACCTGGTCTCAGGGTCATTCAGATTAAATTTCACTTGGTCCATTGGACTGTTTCCAAGCATCTTCTGTTTTCATCACTCTTCTTTCTCCGGACAGGGAGAGACCAATAGTTGCACCTTACATGGCCACTCGGGAGCCTTTATGATCCCAGTGACTAAGGTGTCTGGGTCTCCTAGTGCACAGTGTAGTCCTTTCTGGGGAGCCCTTTCCAGGGCAGGGAAATTGGTGGAAGGTCTGGGTCTTTCACTGAGGTCTTAAATGGAAGGGTAGACACTTGCACCCTGGGCTCAGAGGTAGTTTGTCAGTGGAAAATATAATAGGTGTTAAACAGATGAGTACCCAAAAGATAACTGAAAAGAACAGAATTAAACACTTTTAACCACCGTATTTTAATTTATTTCCGTGGCTCAGCTTTCAGCCAAACCGTTGTTCGATGTCGTTGAGTCACTTCCGAGTCATACGACCGACCCTATGTTCACGTGCAATAGAACTAGACACTGCATGGTCCTGCGCCTGCCTACAGACACACCTCTGTTTGAACTCACTCTTGCAGCCATTAGGTCCATTCATCTTGTTGACGTCGTCCTCTTTTTCACTGATCCTCTACGTTACCAAGTATGATATCCTTCGGTGTCTCCGATAATGTGTCTGAAGCATGAGAGACAAACCCTCGCCGTCCTGGCTTCTAAGGAGCACTCTGGTTGTACTTCTTCCAAGACAGGCCTTTAAGTGAACAGTGTCACCAAGGAGTACACACTCCTTGGAAAAATCAACCATATGAGATCAAAAGGGGAGCAGTAGGCCAGGGATAGGTCAGAAGGAAGAAAGCAGCTGGGAAGAAGGACAAATGGAACTGGGAAACACAGAGAAAGTAGGAAGAGGGCTGTTAGGTTGTGGGAGTTGCAGTCAATGTCAGAAAACAAAATGTGCATGAATTATTGAACAGGAGACCAATTTGCTTTGTAAACCTTCACTCAAATTGCAATAAAAAGTAAAAAAAAAAAGCCTGCTTCCCTTGCTATCAGTTTTCACATGAGTTATGAGCTGTTGGAGGCTTTCCTATTATTGCTACCTCTGGAGTACACCCTTCTTTGCCTCTTGAAATAAAATTATCGAGCATTTAGGAGCCAGGTTGATTTTTGCATATTATAAAGCACACATTGCTGGAGACAATCTCATTTTGCTTTGCTAGATTCTTTGGTTGGTTTTTAAAATTAGTTGGTTTTTAAAATTAGTTTTTATTATGAAATATTTTATAGCTTCAAAAAGTAGAACCACACATATATACTGTGTAAGTTATTATAAAACAGACACACATAGATCTACCATCCAGATGAAGAGACAGAACATGACCCACCTCCTTAGAGCTCTCTGTGTGCCTCTCTCCAATTGTATCTTCGTTCCTTCCTTTTACGAGAAACTATTATTTTTGAATTTCATGTTTATTATTTCCTTGATTTCCAGTGTAGCTTTTGTTACTTATGTATCCCTGAACAATGTGTTGTTAAAGTGTGTATTTAGGGGGAGTCCTGGTGTGGTGCTACGGGTCCAATGCACTGGACTGCAATGTTGGTTTGAACCGCAAGGTCGGAGGTTCAAGCTCACCAGCCACTCCTAGGAAATCTTATACAGAGTCACTATGAGTCAGAACCAACTCGATGGCACTTAACAGCAACAATATATAAATGATATTAAACCAGGCTTAAAAGTATATTTTTCCCCACTCAGTGTTACAGTTTTGAACTTTATACAACGTGATGTATGAAACTCTGTTTATTTTTACTATTGTATGATTTTCCACTTTATGAATATCATAATTTATCTGTCCTCCTGTTACAAGTAATTGAGTTTTCAGTTTTTTGCTATTGTAAATAATACTGCGATATTGACGGTTGTACATTCTGCCTTTGGTAGTTTTTTAAAAGGGGATTTTACTAATCATTACTAACAAAATAATTAGCATGGTTAAACAGTATCTAAATTGCATTTAGACATTGTTTAACCATGCTAATTAGTTTATTAGTAATGATGCCTACCTGTCCACATTCATACACACACATCCATGCATGTATTTTTATCATGCTCAATTTTTTGTCACCTTTTTGAGCATCATTTACTTTTTAATTTGTAACACAGCAAGTTAGGTAATAAACTGATAACGACATTAAATTTGTAAGCTCTGTTTTCAAGCTTTGACATATAGGGGAAGTTACATAATAGTTTCTTTTACTCATTGTCACTCCAAATGTTAATGACTTAAAACAACAACATGTCTAACGTCTCATGATTCTGTGGGTTGACCAGGCCCCCTTTGGCTCCATGTGCTGTTGGTGTGCGGCATTGGTTTGGCGGCATCCAGCTGGGGGTTGGGCTGGGGCCTCTCCTTGGGCCTCCTTTCCTGGGTAGCCTGGACAATTTTCTTCAGAGTGTGCTGCTGGTGGTGGCTGAGTGCCAAGGACAAACCCCAGTATACAAGTGCTTATCAACCTCTGCTTGCATCACGAGCTTGCTGAGATCCCATTGGCTAAAGGAAGTCTCCTGGCCTAGCCCAGAGCCAGTGGAGGAGGAGACTTCACCAGGACATGAATCCTGGGAGTCTGGCTCACGGGGCCACCAGAGCAACACTCACCCACGATGTCTCTTTGTTGTTGTTGGTCTCTGTTTCTCTGTATATAGGCCCAAATATTTCTGCCCTTAAATGACACCCTGATATTGACAAACATCTGTTTCCTGTAGCCCCACTGGATATGGACTCAGTGCAGATGCCTAGAGATTCTTTCTGGCCCATCGTGGACTATGAGCCCTTCCTAATCACCAGGGTCCACACCCTAGATGGGAGGGTCACTCAGAGCCAGAGCATTTGGACTTGGAAGCCACCCTGAGGTTATCTCCTATAAGCAGTGAACAAATGCAAGTCAGTGCCTGGTGACTTTGTGATGCAGTGACTGTGGTCATTTATGAGGTGGCGCCGTGATGATCATCATGTCCTGTGATCAGCTCATACATACAGGTTCTGAAATGTTCCTGAAGATAATTAAAAAACGGTTGCAACAGTACATTGACAGGGGACTGCCAGAGGTGCAAGCTGGATTCAAACAAGGATGTGAATGAGGATGATCATTGCTGATGTGAGATGATGGGTCTTGGTTGAAAGCAGAGAATACCAGAAAGATATTTAGTTGTGTTTATTGACTGACTATACAAAGGCTTTCAATTGTGTGGATCCTGACAAACTATGGACAACATTGAGGAGAATCAGTATTCTGCAACACTTATTTGTGCCCATGAAGAACCTATACATAGACCAAAAGACAGTTGTTCAAGCAGAATAAGGGGACACTGAATGGCTTAAAATCTGAAAAGCTATGTGCCAGCTGTATCCTTTCACATCACTGATTCAGTCTGTATGCTGAGCAAATAGTTTGAGAAGCTGAATTGTATGAAGAACGTGGCATCAGGATTGGAGGAAGACTGATAAACAACCTGTGATATTCAGATGATACAACCTTGCTTTCTGAAAGTGAAGAGGAGTTAAAATACTTGACTGATGAACATCAAAGACCACATCCTTTGGTATGGTTGCACCTTAGTGTAAAGATAACAAAAATTCTCACGAGGACCAATAAATAACATCATGATAAATGGAGAAAAGATTAGTTGTCAAGAACATCATTTTGCTTGGAATCACCATCCACACTCATGGAAGCAGAAGTCAAGAAATCAAACGATGTATTTACATTAGATAGATCGTCTGCACAA